CCAGATCACTTGCCGAAATGGCCAAAAATCATTCAATTATGTTGAACACGCCACAGGCAACCACAACAAGGATGCGCTGTCAGAACGCACAGCTGCCACAATAAGGGGCGTGTGCAATGGCAACAATTACGCAAGCAACCTGGATTAAGGCCAATCACCACTAGTTGCCCCGTTTAAGGACAGTCAGTTGTTTATTTATGAGAGGAAGTGGAGCAGGCAATTTGTTGCCCTAAACCTTGGCAAAAATCAGCGTAAGCAAATGGGGTCACGCCCGGAAGGTATTTTAATGAAGTCGAATGCAAATTCAAATTGCGCAGCACATTTGGCGCGCAACTTCCGACAACTTTAATTTGTAACATTAACAGAGCCATTTTGAGTTTAACAGCATGCTGTTAAATTGAAATGTTAGCTTTGACTATCGTACTATCGAATAGAACGATTAGTTATTGAGCCGACGTCAGACAGCTGCGAGTCATTTTTGTGTTTTCCATGGAAAATGCGTAGAACGTAAACAAAGTGCAATAAAACAAAGAACAAACACGTTGGCACACACACACTGACGCGCAAAGTGTTCTTGCCAGGCCAATGAGTTACGAAGCATATGTTCACACCCTCAACAAAACCCTACAGGCCTTCGCCCAACAAGTTGAACACTTCGCTGGGGTCGCTCTGCAAGCTGCTGTTCAATTTCGCAGCGAATTCAACACCTTCACAGGCGACTGGCAGTGGCAGTGGCAGAGTCCCGTCGAGTTTACCGCATTACAGGCAACGCTGCTGAAGGTGCTGCTGGCGCTGCTGCTGGGAACGGGTGTCCTGATTGCCTGGTCGTGGGGCGTCTACGGTCGAGTGATCACTGAGAAGTTTGTCAGGCCCAGTGAGTGACAGGCAAACAATTCTTGTTTTGTCATATTCATTTCGTTTGTATATGGTTAGCACAAAACATCATAAATTTTTGGTGAAAATCTTTTTAGGCACTTTGAAGGAAATTGAGGAACTTAAATTATCTGTAGCCAAATTGAAGTTGCCCAAGGAGCATTCGCCAAGAATTTAAACCTTGTTAACCATGTCAAAAATTAAACGATTTTTTTCGAAGAAGAAGGAGGAGGCCGCCTTCAAGGTAAGTGCAGTTATCCTCATATTTACTTGTTCGTTGTACAAACATTTCTCTCTACAGCTGCGACTAGGTGGCGGCATGGGTCAGGGTCACAAGCTGAATGCCCCCAAGCCGGATGCCCCCTCAAGCAGTTCACGTCGTCCAATGGATGTGTATGTGCCGCCCAAGCGCAATGAGCTGAGCAAAGAGGCTCGCGCTGCCGCAAATGCTGCAGTGGCACGCATTGAGCGCAAGGAATCGCGTGACTTTAACACCTCACTGGCAGCCATCAAAGCGCAGGCCAAACGCGAGCTGGAGGCGGAGCGTCGCCAGAAGGAGGAGCTGTCCAGCGCAAGCAGCTCGATTGGAGCCGGCTCGACAGGCGCCAGTGCTTCGGTTGTGGACAACCGGAATCTGGCCTGTGAGGGCGTATTCTTTCGCTGTCCACTAATAAGCGAGGAGGTGCTGCCCAAGCAGGCCTGGAAGTTGAAAATCAAGGACTTTCTCTATCAGCAGCTGGAGTTCGAGCGTGGCTTGACCGCCTGCTTGATCATACAGAACTGCAATTTGAAAGAGAGGGCCGATGATTGTACAGCCACACTTATTAAATATTTGGAGAACATCATTCAGAATCCAGACGAAGAGAAGTTCTGCAAAATTCGCATGTCGAATAAAATATTCAGTGACAAGGTGCGCTATGTGGATGGCGCCTTGGATGTGCTCTATGCAGCTGGCTTCAGCGAGGTGGAGGTGGATGGCGAGCCCTTCCTCTTATGGACCAAAGAGCAAATGGAAGAGGGTCTGGATCTGGTCACGCTTGTAGATGCCCTAAAAAATTCAGAACCCATACAGCTGGAGCTGGATCGCAACATCAAGGTGCTGCTGCCGTCGCAGGCACGTCGCGTTGTGCTGCCCGACGATTTCTATCGCATCTCGCCGGAGGAGATCAAGCGGGAGCAGCAGCTGCGCGCCGAAGCCATTGAGAGCGCCCAAATTCTGAAGACGAAGGCCATGCGGGAGCGCGAGGAGCAGCGCAATTTGCGCATGTATCGCTACTCCTTGATAAGGATCAAGTTTCCCAATGGTCTCTACATTCAGGTGATCTGTCAAACGGCGGGCTATAAGATTCATTTATTTATTCTGATTAATTTTTTCAGGGTACCTTTAATGTGTATGAAAAGATCTCTGATATTTTTGAGTTTGTGCAATCGTGCCTAGCGGATGAATCACTCGAGTTTAACCTGGTGGCCACCAGTGAGGGTAAATTCAGCGAGGACGACATGGAAAAGACTTTATACGACTGCAAGTGCGTATAAAAAAAACACATCCTTTACAGCCTTATAAATAATGTGCTTATTTGCAGGCTCATTCCAAATGTTTTACTACTTTTTGCGGTTCCAGCAATACCAACTCCGGTGGCAGTTGATTTCAACTTCTTAAAGGAGGATCTGCTTATGCTGGTGCAGTCCATGTAGATGTTATATGTATTTCCATGTAACAGTCGATAAGGCAGAAGGGCAGCAGTATATTGACCAATGTCAATGTTTTGAATAAAAATTTTGTTATTATTTATTCCCAAAAAATAACTAAGCACACATTTTTAACTAACATAAAATTAAAATGACACATTTTAGGCTTTGTCAAATTTCGATTGTCTGGAATAATCGATGACAAGTTTTGCGCTGTTCTGTCAGGTGGTTGTGGTGCAGCGAAATGTTACAATGGACAGAGCTTACTTTTGTCGTGCGGTTATCGCAATGATGAGTCGTTGCGGTTATCGGCCGACCGCCACATTCAATGCATATGAACAGCTGTTTAATAGTTATTGTGCTGCGGTCACACAGTGCCGAACTGAAATATTTACCGTGATATTGGAGCTAACAAATAAAAATTAGCTAAACACAAATATGAGCTTAAAATTCTTATTGTAATTAGTGTGTGAAAAGTGAATGTAAATATTAATAAACTTATTGGTGATATGCAAAAACGCAGGTGAGTCATGTGTTTACAAATACGAAAACAATAACAAAGCAGCAGAAGCTACGCTTTGTTTTTAATTTGTAATAAGATTAACTTATGATTAATGCATTTCATTTGTTGTGCGTGTGAGTTTGAGCGTGGTGGTGGTGGTGGCAGTTGTCAAAAATGCCATAACTATTTAACAATTATTGTTAAATTTTTGGGTGTTGTTGACAGCTGGCTTGGGCAATATCTGCGGCTGCGTTCGCGTTCGCGTTTGTTGCGTGCCGCTGCGGTGCTCGCTCATTAACGAATTTTATTGGATAAACAGAAATTGTAATTTGTAATGCGTTGTTAATTAAGCCGAAAGGGCGCACAGCCATTGACTGCAACTTGCAGATGTGGGCCACCAAATGACACATGCACACACACACACACACACTCTCGAAATACTAAAACCCAGCATTTGGATTTAATGAATCCATTTCGCCGCGCTCTGCCGCAGCGCCAATCGGCGCCGCATCAGCGCAACGGTTAAAGAAGAAAGAAGAGTTATTTTTGAAGTGGCGAAGTTTAAATACCCTAACAGGCATACGGGAGATATCCAATATCTTTCTAGATTAGCTAACCAGCGTTTTTATATAAAACTCAAAATCCAAAATCCAACTAAGTGATTTTGTTCCTATTTAGTAGATCGTTGTTGCTAAATTTTTTCTATTTGTTTGTGTTTGAAGCTCTTAATATCTCAATGTAAGAAATATTTATAAAAATTGCTGTTTCAACGAAAATTGTATATAATGACTGATTTGTTTCCCTAGGAGCTATATATTTGATATGGCAATCTAATGTTGATAAAGTTTTGCCCACATATTGATAAGGCTGGTAAATGCAAAGTTTGGTTAATATATCTTGATGTTGATAAGATTTTGCTCATATATATGGGAGTATATAGAAATGTTGCTTGACTGAAAGACATCGAGGAAAACAAGTACAACAATTTTTCAGCTGTGGCAGCTATGTTAAAGGATGGCCCGATCACAACAAAATTGTGATACCCTTTGTAAGGGTATTAAAGAAGGCCTGCAATTGCAGCCCAGGCCAGGCGGGCAGGCAATTTGGCGCAAATCTTTTGAGCCGCAGGCAAGTTGATCTTGGGAAAAGTAAATAGGAGAAAATCTCCTCGTCGCCACCCCCTCCCTGCCCACAGCCCAAAGGCAACAAAATTTAATGAATCTTTTGTGTGGGGGGCTCTCCGGCCTCTGGCAGTCGCTGCTAAATTAAATCGAACGGCGGCCCGCAATCGGGCCAAAATCGAAAACTCCAAAGTCGAAGACACGCAGCCAGCTGCTTGGCCAGCGTATAAATTGGCCTGGTCCAATGTTTCCTCTGGCGGCCCAGGGCCCATTGTTGGGGCTACTTATTATGGCCATGGGATCTGGGCCTTCATTAAACGCTTGACCAGCGTCTAGCTAGGAGCCAGAGGCTCAGGTTCAGTGCCAGGTTCAAGTGCGTGAGATATGCATTATTTATCTAACGTGCAAAAAAATTTTACTCATTTCTTATTGTTGTCCACTTCCTGGTCGCAGCCGAGATGGTGCATTTTTAAGCATCTGCTGGCTCTGATAGAGAAATTGAGCCTTAACTATTTGGGACATTCTCAGGCTGATGCGACTCTGCGACTCTGTGGCTCTGCGAATTTGTGGCTCCGGCTGCTGCACGTGCCACAGCCGTTGCTGATGGCAACCTTTTGGCCCAGTGCCGCTTGGCTGAGGCGCTGATTGAACGATTCGGCAGGGAAAGATCATCACCCGTGCCCATTGCTGCCCATGAGATGGAGAGTTGATGAGGTGCAAATTGTGGCTGCCATGAAATTGCAAATCAACACAAGCCACCCCTTTGCACCTCGTTACCCCCGCCATGCCCCTCATGCCACGACATTCGCCTTGCATTTCATTCAAAATTGTTTACTCAACTGCAAAGCCTGAAAATTGCAAATCGAATTCGGATTTGTGCGCGCCCGCTGCCTGTCTGCCTCTGCCTGACGCTTGATTTGTTTTTGCGGTTGCCACAAACCACACAGCAGCAGCACCAGCAGCAGCAGCACCAGCAACAGCAGCAACAACAACAATGAGAGCCTCAATTTCGAGCGCGCCCTTTAACAAGCGTTTAGTCTGCGCGCCTGCGCCAGGGCCGCCTCCTCTCTCTCCTTCGCCTCCTCCTCCATCTGCTTCTCCAGGCTCAAACCAACTGTGGCACCTCGTGACCCGTTCCCAGTGCCCGAAATTGATGTTGTTGTTACTGTGTAATGGTTAAATCGGTTAGAACGAAATCCCCCTATAGACCCGACACGCAAGCGCCCTGCATTTACATATTTTTGCCTGCATTTGAACTCTGAACCCCAAGCTGAATGAATACAACAGCTCCGAACTGTAACTTGCAACTGCAACTCCAACGGCAGCGACAGCAGCTGCGTCAGCTACAAAACGGAAACGCTGCGGCTTGTCACTGCGAAACCCTTTGCTTCAATTAACACTTTTGAACTTGACAAGAGCTACACACACACACTCGTGCTGGGTGTCGACTGTGCACATCTCTCCTCTCTCTCTCTGATTAGCAAGCTACTCTTTAATTATCCAGATAAACACACATACATTTATCTAAGAAAAGAAAATAACATAAAAACTCATTATTAATCAAAATTGATTATATATACGTTTTTCAACACTGGCTCGGATAGGCAACTGACCAATTATTGGCCCTGGTTTGGTAGACGGAAAGAAGAAGCAAAATCTGCATTTGTTTGGTCTGTAAATTTCTCTAAAATATCTTATTCATTTTTTTCCCCAATCCCAATTTCACCTTAATGTAGTATAATGCTAAAGCATTACTAAAAAGTTGTTTCAATAATAATAATAATATTTCTCTCACTTTTTCTCTCACTCTCTTCGTCTCTCTCATTTATTCGCCCTTTCTCTCACTTGGTTGCCCTTTCGTTCGCTTTCTCTAAATAGCACCCTTCTATGCAATTCTCATATCGTCCGGTATGGCTTACATCATTAAATAATTTTAAACAATATAACTAAATTACCAAGGTTTATTGTTTGTTTCCTAAGCGATGTCTTTCTCTATGTAGCTAGCGCGTTGTCTCTGACTCAAACTCAATTTCACGTTCCCTCTTTATTGTTTACTCTCGCTAGCTCTCTCTCACTCTCTTTCATTCGCTTTCTCTTGTTATAGACATCCTAAACATCACCCTTCTATGCAATTCTCAGGAAGTCAAGTATGACTTGCAGATTTCGATTGATTTATAATGCATATAAGTTGTAAACATTAAGCAATATAAAACAATATTTATTAGAAAACTTTTTCATTCTTTAGATAATAATACTAGAAAAATAAATGTTGCTTAATGTTAAATAACATAGTATAATATAGACTATATAAAAAGGAAAACATATTTTATAGTGCAACTATTTATTGAATACTACTCGCTATATTTCTATTAACTAAGTAAATAAAACATAAGCTTAGATTGGCTGATTAATACGCACACACACACTCACACACACACATAAGTACACACGCGATGAGCAATTTGCAATCCAGAACAAGAACTTCCGGTCAGCATCGTATTTTGTTTCGTCTTCTTTCTTTTTTTTTTTCATTTTGCCTCATTGAACGAGTTAAGTGTTGTTTCCATTTTATGAATGAATGAAAATCTTGTCATCGTGCAGCGGCTGCCACATCATCGTCAGCTTCTGCCGCTGCTCCCGCTGCCGCTCCCCCGTTGACATATCACGCGCTGCGCCTCATCATTCGCGTCCAATTAGCGCAATCAAGTGGATGCCACCAAGTACAGCCAAGTACTGTGAATCCCCAAACACCCCTCTATCCCTGTCTCCAGTCAAACCCCGCCTAGACAATTGCGCAGCGGCAAGTAAAAAAAAATCTACGCAAAAGTTCACAGCTTGATAAGATTAATTGGCTGCATCAATAGCGAGCCCCTCTCGGTGGCCCCTCTGAGCCAGCGAGCTGCTGCAGTCAATTCCAAATACATTTGCAATTTGTCAAATTTGGTAGCGAGCAGATAAATTAATTTCGGCATCGATTTGATCGCTTGTCTCTGGCCATTTTGCATTTTCAGACGCTGAGCCAAGTTTGCCGCACTGTCTGCTCCTGCTGCTGCTGCTGCTGCTGCCTCATTTGGTTGCCGGCCAAGACTCTAGCCTGGCTTTGGGCCATTGTAAATGTGCTTTAATGACCATTGGTCAGCAAATCTCATTTTTTGTCGCTGCCGCCGTGGCTGTAGCCGAACATGCTCGACATGGACCGCCTGCTGACACACACACACTCGCACACACACACACTCGCACACACACACACACATTCTGGTTGCCAAATAGTAGTCGTAACTGGTACCTGCCCCAAACGAAAATAATGACCACTGTCCACATGCTGCACATTTGCACATATTTTGCGCATTTTCCCATTTTCCTTACCTATTTTATCTTTATCTCGCTGCCTTGTGCCCCTCACTCCCCTCCCTCTCCCATCTGCTTGCATTTTCAACACCCGAAAAACGAAAAAGAAAACAAAACTTCACACTTGGCTTTTCCCCAACTTGGTCGTCATTTGAAAAATGACATTACAAATTGCGCACATTTGTCTAATTAAATCCCTGCTCCAATAACGAGATCTTAGATTACAATCTCACAGCGGTGCGTAATGGCTTTGGTCAGTTGGGGTCTACACTTTGGGGGCTCTCTCACTCTCTCTCTCTCTCTCTCTATCTCTCTCTCTCTCTATGTTTCTCTGGTTGGCTTTTCCCGAGCAAAGTTGGCATTTGTTCAGGTGGCAGCTTGTTGAAATGTGCTTAAATTTTGATTAGTTTGCTGGCTGGCAAGAAAATAATTGAAGAAGCTGTTGTAAATTTATAAGTATAGCTTGATAAATATTAAATACATTATAAAAACAGGCTTTAAGCTGTCTTAAGACTCCTTTCAAATGCGTTGAGTAGCTTTTCCGTTGGGATTTATCAGTTGCCATTATGTTTTAATACCCTGAACCCGTTGAAAATGTATGTAACAGCCAGATGGAAGCATCTTCGACCCCATAAAGTATATATATTCTTGGGTAGCATCAATAGTCGAGTAGATCTAACAATGTCCGTCTGTCTGTCCGCGTGAATATCTGTAAATCTATAACTTCCCACGTTTCCAAGCAATCGATAAGAATCGATATCGAAATCCTGTTTTTCGAGCATATCTCTTAGGGTTTAACGGCTAGTGTCACCAACTTTGTATAGTGTATTTCAAGTATATTTCATTTTATAACTCCCCCTAGAGCGAGCTGCAGTTGGTGTTGGTAGAAGAAAGCTTAGGGTACCTCCTTATCGGGCACTCCCGACTGGATCACTCATTAATATTGATATATACCAAGCCAAGTGTAAATCCCAAGCGAGTTTTATTCTGACCGACCTTTTCCTAACGTAACACTCTTTTCTCTTAGCCAGGCGCAACGTTTTCGTGTTATCGTCACAGTAAGCTCTTTTCTTCCAATGGATGTTAAAAAAGCGATAACATAGCGATATTGGTAATAAGTCACACCAAAATACTTTATAAAACCTAAAACCTAAAAAACTTTTTAGCAAAAACAGCCACCGGCATTCTCTTGTTATTCTCAAATTGAATCATTTAGACTTGGACGGTGAATCACTTGATGAATCGTTCAGTGAACCACAAAGAACTAGCTTTGTAGATGAGTCGTTCAATAATGTACTTCATATATATGACCCTTTTATTATGATGCTAACATATTTAAGCTACATTTTATTTGAAAAGCATGGTTCTATGAAAAAAGTCCACCTAGCTCCTCTCTAAATTATCTTAGCTTAAAGCTGAAACAATAGATATTTAATATATTAATTTAATTTTAATTTTGCCATTAGCTCGCACAGTTCTCCCACATTTTTGTTAAGCCCTAGTTTATTTTATTATCATCTAATATCGATTGAAAAATTGTTTATGCCCCCGACTCGTAGCTAGTCGCATAATACCCAAATAGGGGCTTTGAGGGTTTTAAGTGGCCCTCGTCTCGCATATAAAATGTTTGCTGCTGACCAATTAGAGCTCATCGAGTGGCCAACGTGGCTGCTGGCCAAATGCAACCCCAAGCTGGACGAATGACCGCAGACAACAGCAACAAAAACAACAACGCTGCGCCAGCATCTAATGAAATTAAGCAAAAAAATAAAAAGAAAATAATAATAAGCCAAAGAGAAGCAAACAAGCTCCACTCAAATCGAACTCAACTTAAACTCAACTCAAGCTACACCAACTCAACTCGTTCGCTATCAGCTGCCTGAGCTGGAATTTCACTCGGTTTTAGTTTAGTTCACTCAACTGATAAGAGCACGTGTTGCTGCAAGCGCCATCTCTGTCGCGCATGCATGCAGTGCAGCCCGACGAGAAAAACTCTAAGCGCCAGGCTCCTTTTGACTTTTTCACTCAGTGCGCGAGGTTGCCACCAGGTGTGTGAAGCAGTATTTGAGAATTTTCTAAAATACAATTTTAAACAATTTTGAGTTATTTGATTGCGATTAATACAGCACGTATATTTAGTACATTTTTAACTAATTTATTTCATCCATATATAACTATAATTTAAATATATTATATAATTCAGTTCTTCTTTTTTCAATATTAGAACGATTCATTCACTCGGTTACATTTAACGCTTAAATTTTATTTACATTTATTTTGTATTTGCCATTTGGCGCTGACCGGCACCAGCGTCTGCTAAAAGCTGTCTATGTGCGACAGTAACAGATATACGCAAAAACGTAAGCCAGAACGAGAAAGCGTCCGTGCTTAAGCCAGTGAGCAATGTGAGAGAGCGTTTGAGTGTGGGAGAGCGCAACTGCGCCTGGCGGAGTTGCTTGCTTAATATTTTTCGTTGCCGGTAGCAGCAAGCATGCGCTCTCTGTCTGACCAGTTGACTTGGGGCGCAGGCGGCGCTGGCGCTGACGCTGACTCTGTTATACGCGAGCAGCAGCCGCAGCGGCAGCAGCAGCAGCAGCAACGACGCCGACTCGACTTGGACTTGAGCTTCAGTTGCTCAGCCGCAGTCACAGTCACAGCCTCAGTCGCAGTCGCAGTCGTCAACATAGCTCAGTCCGGTTTTGGAGCCCCCAACGTTGAGCGCGACTCGCGGATTGCAGCAGTAGTTGTTGTTTTTATCGTTGTTGATATTTATTGTTGCCGTTGCCGCTGCCGCTGCCTAAAAAATCCCATTTCCCCATAAATATCCAAGTGCGTCTCCGTGTGCATGCGAAAAAATTAAATAGCCGACGGCTCTCAAGTGCATTTTGTGTGCGAATTTCAAAGTAACCAAAAAGAAGAATATATCTATAAACAGATGCAGCTGAATAAAACTAAATATACGATCAATAGTGTCCAAAACTGAACTGGAAACGAACGTAAGTTAAGCACACAAGAATTGTGTTCCATTTGCCTTCTTTATAAGATAAGATAAGACAGCTTCTCCGAAGATGCTGTGCCCCCAGCCCAAGAGAAAAATTGAAAGTGTGGCTCTTTATTTTCACGCCCGAAACGCATATTCCGATCTGATTTCGAGACGCCAGCTCGGTCTTAAAAGAACTTCTTATCGCCATATGCGGAATGATCATAAAATATTTTGTAGCTCAGTTCGGCGTTAAATTTTTGAATCAGGCCTCGCCACTGATAAGAGATTCGTATTCATAAATCTGTTCGCTTGAGCAATCGAACAGAGCTGATTAGCTGGTTGCCCAGCTTGGGGAGATATATTTTTGTAAATGTTCGAGCTGTATTCGTATTTGATTAGATTGCGTTTGCCTGGGGGCTTTCCCAATGCCCATTTCCAAGTACTCGGCGCAGGGCAGAGAATCACTTTTCGTTAAAATTAATAATGCTTGCCACAAAGCTGGCAACGTACAACAGAATCATGTAGAAGTGATTAAATTAATTAATGATATAGACACTGCGCAATAATGTCCACGCACACAAGACCCAAAGTCGCAAAGACTCCTCGTATCTATCCATCTGTGTTGATCTTCCTCTTGGCCGGCCGTTGGCTCTTCCTGTTCTTCGCATGCAGCGCAGCGCATCTCAGCGCAGCGCGGCGCACCGCATGATGCTGGCCAGGCGATCTTCTGGCTTGTCGGAGCGCGGAGGCGCACAGATCGTTGTCTTAACTTGTCGTACACGATGTCTTATACGTGTAGCAACAATTTATTTCGCTGCCCGATCCAGTCGCAATCGATGAGGATCGTCGCACCGGCCACGGCCACGGCGACGGCGACGGCGACTCATCCCCCGGCGATCAATCAAGCGACGAACCAGGCACAAGTTAGACCCAATGATCAATATTAGTTAACTAAAAATAATACAAGTCGTCTTATCTCTATCTACTTACCAAGACACAGGCCACAGTCCAGGGGCTCCAATTGCGATCTTCATCATTTGTAGATGGGGCAACTGTTAGCTAGGCAGAGCCTTTATAGAATATATATATTTATATATATGTATATATATCAATTTAGGGCTAGATGCTGTGTAGTTTTATTCGATGTACATTTAGTTTTATATAGGATATACTTTATATAATTTATATATATTGTATACTCAAAATATCAATTGATCGATGGAAAACTTGTAGATCTCAGTAGATTGTGCGATCATTATAAAGAAAACGCCTCACTTTTTAGCTTCGATTTTGACATATATTGAAACTCATATACATCATCTTTTCATTACTTTCCATATGGATTAACAGACACATATACCTTATTTCCTGTTTTTATCCATATTTCTATTTAAATATTCATATTCTAATTTCTGACTGTATTGATATTTCATTCTTGTTCATACTTAAGTTTAAATTGATGAACATCGGGTTCATATTTATGTGTAGCCTATATACAGATACATCTCTTATAAGCAACAGCTTTAAATTGAGGCATCCCTTCAGAAACTTTATCATGAAAGTATTTTGGGACTGGTTCTTGATAAGCAACCCAAAGAAACCCGCAGCAAGTTACCAAAGTCTTGAATATTTCTAGCAAATGCTATGGATTAAATTCGCAAAATTGCAAAAATTTGTTATTAAATTTAAAAGAAAATAAAAAACAAAGTATTGTTTATCAGTATTGTTATTAATAATTTTTGTTTGATTCACATTAACAATTGTATATTATATATCAATAAGGCTTATCAGTCGAGAAAGTGGCGCTTTTTTTTTTTTAAATATAATATGGAATATATATAGAATATATACATATGTGTTGTATATATAGCAAATAATATATGCTAGATAGATACGTCCTATAATCTTTATATAATGGAATACTTGCGTACTTTATTGATGAGTCAGCTTGTATGTAACAGATATGTGCATATATACGTGCATATGTCATATAATTTTTGATGAAAAACTTCATTTAGAAAAGAAACTTATTTGGAATATAGAATAAATATATGTTGTATATAGATCATATAATATATGCTAGATAGGTACGTCCTATAATGAGTCAGTTTGTATGTAACAGATATGTGTATATATACGTGCATATGTCATATATTTTTAGAAGTAAGACTCCATTAAGAAAAGCTAAACAACTGAAAAGCAACTCATTTGGAATATAGAATATATATATGTTACATATAGCATATATATATATATACATATATATGCTAGATAGGTACCTCCTATTATCTCCAGGTACATTATTGATGAGTCAGTTTGTATGTAACAGATATGTGTATACGTGCATATGTCATATAATTTTTAAAGTAAGACTCCATTAAGAAAAGCTAAACAACTGAAAAGCAACTCATTTGGCTCGCACTTTGGTTTGTTAAGATCTTTTATGACTGTCGTAATTAGTTTTTACTTTAGTCTACATATTTCAAAGATGTTTTATGGTGCAGCTGCCCTCGGTAGAGACTTTATCTTGTCTAGGGTTTTCGGTTTTCTCTGATTTCTCGCGTTTTATGTGCCGCCTCACCGAGAGAAGGTGGTAGAGAGAGAGGGAGAGAGAGAGAGAGAGAGAGAGAGATGGAGACCTAGAGATGCTATTAAAACAGGCACGAGTAACTGTGCCTGGTTGTTTTTTCCAACTAATATCTGTGTCCAAAGTGCTAATTGAAGCATCTTTAGTCTCGAGCGGGTCAAAGCAGTCAAAGTTCTTTGGTTTTGTGTGCTTTGTTTATAGTCTTGTTTTTGCTTAAATGGAGAACCGGCGGTCGAGTGTGTGGGCAGATATGTCGCTCCAGCTGGCCAACTGTCCAACTGTCCTCTCCGTCTGACTGACGACAAGTGCCTACTACACCTCTTTCAGGTAAACTGTCAAACTGGAGATTGTTGTCGAGCCATGTTTACAGTCTTCGATGTCGAATTAATTAAACTAACTTGCAACCCCATTCAGGTTAACAACCAACACACACACACACACACACATACACTCATGTGTAGCCTGCACCTCAATTTGTACTTTTCAAAAGCAAATCTGCCTCTCAGTTGAAATTGGTCAAATGTAACCTGAGGCCATTGACTGACCCGCCCGAGGGGGACTGCTGCCTCCTGCTGCCCTTCGGCAGCGGTCACTCATCAGTTGTCCTTAGGCCACAGCCGAGAAAAAGGACATAATCGCCTGCAATATATTTGAACAAAAGTTGAGACGTTATCCTTGAGTATGCCAGGGCTTTTGTTGAGTTTAATTTAGATTTTGAGCTGCGTTCCTTCTGGCTTCAATTAAGCTCTACAAATGCAAGCTTTTCGTTTGCCAATTTAATTAAATTTCAATCATTTCATAGATAGATAGATATCATTAATCTCTAGAGCTAATCTATTGGCTAAGGCAGCTCTTTTTTAATACCCTATAAGCATCCTATGAGGAAGAGGTTATCGTTCAGATTTATGAGCCAGGCAGAAGGATCTATCTTTTATGCTAAAAAACTTAACTTAACAATATTTAAAATAAAATGTAGGAGTCTAAGATATATATTTTAAAACGAAATGAAGTAGAAGATTTAGACTATTCGCATTTCAGAATACACTCAAAATATCATAATGATCCGACAATTAACAGAGAAGTTGAGAAAAAATGATACTAATATAAAAAAAAAAATATTGTATTAATAAAACCTAAATCCTGATTATTGCTTTTATAATAAAGCTTAGATTCTTGAATATTTCCATTGCTGATAACAGGGTATTTTCTAGTCCAACTGCAACCTTCTTAATTCTATATATTCACAACAAGTTCAAATGAATTTTAATTTCCTGCATATGTAGAAGAGGTCAGATGTTGTATAAAGCTCATCAGCTCAGCTGGCAAACGAGCAGCCGCTGCGCCCTCCATCCTCCCCCCTCGCCCCTTGCCACGAGGCATCCTTGTGTAGGAGCTGCAGACAAAGTGTTTGGGCCATTGATTGGAATATTCATTGAATAGTTTTTAAGCTGATTTATATGCCATTGTGTGCTGCTGTCGACAATTTAATAAATATTTAATTTCAATGCTGGTCAACGGCTGCTTCTAAATCCGCACACACATAAAAGATTCAATCAAGCGCAGACGAGGCATGCACCTTCGTCCTGATGATGCTGATGATGATGATGTTGCACTCAGTTATTAATAATAATAACGAGTACTCAGACACACACACACACACACACACACGCACACACACACACGCACACACACACGCACACACCCAACTTGCCGACATGGTTGTCGTAATTTGCAAAACGCACAATCGCTTCCTATAAATCAAGAGCGGGGGGGATGGCCAAACCTGTTGTACTCTCGCATATATGAGAGCTATTCAGATCAAATGGAGCAGCGCTCCGTTGCCATAATTCACCTGGCGTATCATAAAGGTATTCAGTATTCAGTATTCAGTATACAGCATTCAGCCAGCCTTTGTCAGTGAGTGCACCCACCAAATCCAAAGCCACAGACGTCAACTGCTATCAATCTCAGGTGAAACAGAGCTAGCGTTGCCTTCTATCCAATGCCTCCCCCTAGCCCCTTTTCCGCGCCTTCGGATTGGCAACGTACCGCTCAAAGGAAAGCGCCCGTCGCAATAGATCGCACATTGCTGATAGAGGCGTGCCTGCCACTCCACTCTCCACACAGCTCCACTGAAGAGGGGGCGGGCTCAGTAACAAAGGCCACAGTTCTCTGGAACGCAACGAAATCGTAATACTCTAGACCGAAATTGTAATAATGAAAGACTCGAACTCTTTAAAGGGGAGTATTATTTGATAGATGCTTAAATGCTTGTAATATTCCACTTTGGTTTAAGTAGAATATGGTTTAGGTAAATATCTTATACGTAAATTTACCGAAACACAAAAGATTTAAAACAGAAATCTTCAGATTCTTCATTTATTTTTATTGTATACTCTATGCAGTCGCGTCGATAGGAGCTTTGA